GTGGCTCGTTTGCTAGTGATGTGTGTCTCGTTTGCTAGTAATGCGTGGCTCGTTTGCTAGTGATGCGTGGCTCGTTTGCTAGTGATGCGTGGCTCGTTTGCTAGTGATGCGTGGCTCGTTTACTAGTGATGCGTGGCTCGTTTACTAGTGATGCGTGGCTCGTTTACTAGTAATGCGTGGCTCGTTTACTAGTGATGCGTGGCTCGTTTACTAGTGATGCGTGGCTCGTTTGCTAGTGATGCGTGGCTCGTTTACTAGTGATGCGTGGCTCGTTTACTAGTGATGCGTGGCTCGTTTGCTAGTGATGTGTGGCTCGTTTACTAGTAATGCGGCTTACTTTGCTGCATGCTGGACTGCAGGTGGTTAACGATAGCTGTGAGTATCGTCGACAGCGACATCACGTCGGCACACTGCGCCATGCCCAGCGTGAAGATCTCGTTCCACGAATTCTTCACCAACGCCGTCTGCACGTCTTGACTGCAAACGAGATGATTTCGACGTCATGAGTTCAGCATCAAAGTGTACTATTGCTCTTACCGGATGTAAAATTTATTCGATTAGCTCGACCTTACATTTGCTTCACTGACGTGGTCTGTACAGCATGCCATGTCATCTTCATTAGTAACTAATAGCAGCGTGATTACTACACCTACGCTCACGATCGCCAAACCTACATTTTGCCCAGCGCAAAATCTAGGATATATAAAATAGGATATACAATCGCATACAGGAGGTATAATTCTCAGAGAGATAAGCGTATTGTGGATCTCCGCACCACTGCTTAACACATTCAACGCTGCCGGTGTTAACAATGCACCTACCGCCCTGCGCTGGGATTTTCGGGTTTTTACCGCGTATTCGCTTTTTGATTTACCACATTTCCTTTGCAGGAAAGCTAACTAAACTGACACATTTACTCTGCATGAGTGTTATCTCACCCTTACACGTTCAAATAATATAGAAATCGTTCCCCTTCATAATAATATATTGATACGAAAACAGGGAAAAACGGACATTTCGTGCATTTTCGTCTCAAATGCCACTGCACCGGTGGATTTTCGCGAGTTTGTTATGATATCATTCGACAGTATACTATTTTTTCCGGTAAGAAATGTGACAACGCTTACACATGTGTGGGGTATGAACCTTGTTTTGTTTTTCTACATGCAAAAATACATTGAAATTTTATATACTACACAGTTACTATATTATATACCGTTAGGAAAACGGTAAACAAACCTTGTTTCAATCTACGCCTTCTAGTTTACTGGTTTACTTCCTAGTTTTACAAATTCACCTTGAGTCACAAAACTCATAATATCACGTTTGAATCAACGTCAGAGCATTGCATTCTTTAGTTCATGTAAGACTGGGGTAATATAGACCGTCCCTGTTTAATTTATAGGTAGGTAGTGCCTGCCATCTGTTGGAAATCAGAGTAACAAAAACCAATAATCTATCCATGAGCTGACTCGTGGATCAGCAGGGAACATGTTAATGCAGCCGATCCCCCGTAGGGTTTATGTCACATTTCCTCATTGTCTTCCCCTCTTCCCAGATTTCCTTCCACGATTTCCCACTGATCTCGCGGATGCCCCGCTGGTACGCCCGCTCTCTACCGACACTCACCCCAGCAGCTGGAAGGCAGTGATGGCGCGAGACCAGTGCATTGAGAGGAAGAGCAGGCGCGAGGCACTCTCACAGATGTAATGCACGTTCAGGTAGGCGGGCATCGGTGACGGAGTCGTCAGCGTGAACGACACGTTGCTCTCCACTAACAACGGACCTGCGAGAAAACGCAAAGCGTCAAGTCAGTGCGCGAAATTAGCGCTATTTTGCAGGCAGCTGCCGGTTCAACCCCCTAAACCGCCGGTTCAACCCCCCATATAATCAGTCCTATTCCTCATCCCTTTGCCTATCTTGCCTTTATATCGACAATATTTACCAATTTCCTCACTAGGTTTTACTTAGTGACTACTAAGAAGTAAATCATGTTCCAGCAATTCCTGTCAAACAAGTAGAACTCCACTGTGACTGATAGCAATGAAATACTGAAATACTATGAGTATGCCTAATAAACACAAAGCTAATACTTTTATTGATAATGGAATAAATTGAACAAAATTAAGGGCCTGTTCAAACTTGTAAGGGCCTGTTCAATTTGTCTAAGGGCCCGTTTAAAATTTTGGATGGGCCTGTTCACATTTTGGCTAATTTCATGCCATGGTGAAGTGCACCAACAATCCTCGCTAGTTGTCCAGCCACATGTATCATTCGCGTACACACTGTCTCTGTCATGCAGAGTATCAGCTAGCAAGCCGCCTCGGCATCTTTTCGATGGCTGACGACAGCCATGCATCTATTTCAGTGGAACATTTACGATCGCAGAGATGCCAACACTTTTCTGAGCAAACTGTAGTGAGGATATCTGACGCAGTGACCCAAGTATGTTAGGGGGGTTCGGGGTATGCCCCCTAGAAAATTTTTGATTCCGAGATGCAATTTCCTGCATTCTGGGACCAAAAATAATAATTTAATAAGTTCACACTGATATTTGCTGCTAAATACATGTAGTTATTTTTAATAATGTTATATCAATGTAATGCTGAAACAAAACACTTGAAATATCATAAAAAAAAATTTGTTTCGATCGTAATAAAAATCGTAGTTGTATGCAAACTGGTCGTAGTGGTCAAAATGCAAACAAAATTCGTATAAAATACAGATAAATCGTAGTGGTTGGCATCTCCCACAATTTCTGTTCTCCTTCTTTTATTTAAGTAAGTGGTTACTGAATATATACTAAATAATTACATGATTAATCATAATTATTAAGACATTGGTGTTCGCTTTGCTAGGACACAAATGTTCCAGTCATTTGAAACCTACCTAAAACTCATCCGTAATGTGTGCACTGATAATCGCTTATACAGTACACAATTTATTATCCGAAATTCTAAAAACTGAAAAGCTCCAAAAACCTAATGTTTTCCCGTGGATGTGGTCAGCACACCAAAGCTCACGTTTGGCTGCACAAGGTTCACTGCAGAAACATTAATGTGTTTGGCATTACTCATACATATTGTACTGTACCGGTACAGCACTTGGCCTCTCGGAAACTTGGGTTTTAGTACTGGCTAGTTGCAGGATATACGGTATGTACATCAGTACTCTACTACCATTCCGAAATCCGAAAAATTCCGAATCCCGAAACGTGTCTGGTCCCAAGGGTTTCGGATAATAGATTGTGTACTGTGTTAACAAAATCAAAATGGAATAGTCGGAGCAGTAACTCACCATCTATCTCGATGATCGTGTCGTGTTGCTCGTCCTCAGGTATGTCGATGAAAGCCAGTGGATTCGAACCCTGCAAACACACACACAACCATACACAGTTCCTGCTGCGATCGCCATGACAACCCTCTAACGTCCCGCTAGCAGCTCGATACATGCTTGTCCGTCTTGTGACTCGCACACAGAATCAACACTCTCTCATCTCACGATTGACATACACACAGAGTAATGCCACAATCGATCAGACTTTAGCAGAAACAAACATCTGTAGGTACATTTGATGTGTACAATCCTCTATCGCTCGTTACAATGCACAATACACGGCATCTCCACAAAACACCATGTTATAACAACCTCATTTAATGGACGTTTCTCTTAGTGAATAAATCCTAGAAACATATAATGTCCGTTAATCGAGATATGATAGTATATACGTGAAACCTCCCTACTCTGTAATCTGATGGTTTGGCAGCTTCGATGGTCCACAACAATGATTTGAATCTGTTTCCTTGACTAACCTATTTGATTTTGTCATGTCTGTCATAGTACTGTCAAATTATGCCATAAACACATCGACATAAAGAGGTCCAGTAAGGCTGGACTAGGTTCATGCTACTGTAAATGATATCGTTATCAGAAACATTGCAGTATATGCATTTTCCCCTCATTTTTAATCTCAGCTTCGATAGCGTGGAGTTGTCCCTAATACAAAGTAGTCTAATTCTGAGCTCTGAAGACTAAGTGATGTCCAACCCGTACACGGAAACAACGCGGCGGCTCACTCCCGGGGCAACATACCGAATTCGGCTGTTCGTTCATACACTTTGCCATCGCGTCGAACGCCCGTGTCGCGCTGTTGTTGCCGCTCTTCGGGGTTTTTGGCATCGTTGCATCAATGATTTCGCCATTAGCGGAGGCGGCGCTGTCGCTGCGTGTGCGCTCCTTCATGGCAGCCAGCGTCGTGACAACGCTCGCTAGTGTGCTGAGATCTACGAGGATACAGACAGATGTCACAGACAGACACCGACGTCACAAACACCAATGTCACAGACAGACACTGATGTCACAGACACTAATCTCACAGACACCAAAGACACAGAGGCAACAGTATCACAGACGTTATAGACATCAACACACAGTTACATGCAACAGCCAAAATACCACCTTGATCTTGACACTGTCACACAGAATCTTATAAAAGGCTGACTACCAGGACTTCAGCTATACACAAATGACTTCAATATGACTTCGTGTTGCTGTATGCATGACATAAGTATGAATGAGAAAAGATGCAACTGAGCAATACCAAGATAAATGAAAGTGTCAATGACACTGTAGCTCACCACAAAAAGGGCACAAATGAGTGAATGGGAACAAGTGCACCGAGTGGGGGGGGGGGGGCAGTTTAGCCACCACAGTTTTAACAGTATTTAGTGGCACTATACTAAAGCTATTCTAAAGGTATTAACTTAACTCTAATTCATTCCTCAAAGGTTTTTTGGTTCTTAGGCGCCCGAGTTTAAAAAAAATTAAAAAAACTAACTTTTTTTTCTAGTAACATATGTACTACAAAATCGCAACGCCGCGCCCCCAAAAAATCTCCCTAGCCAAGACTTGGGAGCTAGCAAGGCGGTAACGTCTTTTATAATAGTTCAGATTTAGGCACCGCAAAAGCGCGAGCTCTCCCTAAGATTTTGTAACGTGTCGATTGAGAGGATACGCTTATTCACGTAGCTGCTATATACCACGTGACAATGGCGTTCCCTGCCCATAACATAACTTTTGTCAAAGGTTAATTGGTGCCATTGAAGTGTTTACTTTCGCTATTGAGTTCTTAAGGCGGTAAGGCCACGCCGTTTTGCCATCTGTATATTAGCATAATAATCATAAACCAAAATGAATCACAATTTATGACGGTAGATGGCGCGCTTATACCGCTTGATGCTTTCTTGCGATTGGCGTTCGAATATGAATAGGTTATGCTGCGTTCCGAATGTTGTTAAACTTTCTTCTAATATTAGACGTTTATTCGCAGGGTGGACAGGACAATACCAATGGTTTGCCATTAAAGATATGCAATGAATCTTGTAAAACGAACCAGGAGAGTTTGACACCACAGACTGTTATCTGCGTGTTCTTATAATATGTATATAATTGCCAAACCTACTAATTTGCATAATTTTTTTTAAATATCCAAAACCCTATAATACGTTTTACCTTCATTCATTCACATACCAAAAATGTACAAAAAATCCGTTTGAACCTGAACTGACTAATGGCAATTCCATTTGTTGTCCAAAAATGATTGCCGTGGCTCGAAAGTACGTCGACTGGCGTGCTCCAAAATAGGACGTTCAAACCTCTCACATAGCAGTAACAACTATACCCATTTCAACATGTGGGTCAAACGGTTCCTGAGTTATCTGTTGCCGTAGCATAATGTTGACGGAAGGACAGACGGACGTTACGACGGACGAGACCCATGGCAATAGCTCATCTTGGCGATGTCAAGGTGAGATAAAAAGGTGAATATCGTCTATGGAGGAGCAAAACTAACCAGAGTTGCTGGAAGATGGCGCCAGGCGGTTATGCTCTCGAGATTCTCCTGCCATGGTGAGTAGCGCAGTCCCGTTTCCCCAGGCCAGCTGTAGATCCTGAAAGAAGTGAACAGCAACCGTAGACAGCTCCAAAAAGCATCTCACAACATGTGCTCCGCTAACTACTTCGCTTACTTCTTGTACACGGCCATTCTTGGTAAATCAGGTAAACTGTAGTGGCGTTCATGCTGTAGCTTGGCGCTTACGTTGTCGTAAGATGGATGCGTAAATGTCAATATTATATCTTTGAAGTTCATAGTCGCATTTATTTTGAAACATTAATAAACATTATTGTTCATGGTTAATCCTTGTATAGATTTTTTTTAGCTTGCAGTTTCAGGCTGTCGTTCTGACAGCCATCTTCAGAATTTCTGAATTTGTCACCAGATGGCAGTAGGTGACAGAGACGAGGGGTCATACAAACTATCATATGTGTTACGACAACATTTCCTCAGAGCCAGGACCAGACATCGGCCCCGGGGCCACCGATAACATCTGACAGTTATTCGGATAACTGTCACCTACTGCGATTCTTGGTTGACAATTCAGAATTCTGAAAGATGGCTGTCAGAACGACAGCTGAAACTGTCAAGCGTAAACATTTTAAGGATTTAACGATGTGAACAAGTTGATGTTATTAATGTCAATATTGATTACTTGCCGATTCGCCATGTCATTGCTTGACGATGACTTCTACAACAGCACGCGAGGCATTCGCGTACAGCAGTGGGGAACCCTGGCATTCGGTACAGACACGTAGGAAACCCGTGGCATTCGGTACAGACACGTAGGGAACCTGGGCATTTCGGTACAGCCGTGGGAACCCTGGCATTCGGTACAGACACGTGGGGAACCCTGGCATTCGGTACAGACACGTGGGGAACCCTGGCATTCGTACAGACAACGTGGAGCGAACCCTGCATTCAGGTACAGAGGCAGGTGGGGAACCCTGGGGGACATCGGTACAGCCCGTGGGGAACCTGGCTTCGGGTACAGACGTGGGAAACCTGGCATTCGGTACAGACACGTGGGGAACCCTGGCATTCGGTACAGACACGTGGGGAACCCTGGCATTCGGTACAGACACGTGGGGAACCCTGGCATTCCCGGTACAGACACGTTGGGGAACCACTGCATTCAGGTAAGGACACGGTGGGGAACCCTGGCATTCGGTACAGACACGTGGGGAACCTGGCATTCGGGACAGATTACGTGGCGAAACCTTGGCATTTCGGTTACAGACGTGGGAACCCTGCATTTCGGTACACGACAGCGTGGGGACCCTGGCATTCCGGTAGACAGGTAGGGAACCTGCATTCGGGGGTACAGGACACTGGGAACCCCTGGATATAAGCCAGCGGCACGACACAGCGTGATCACTGCAACATCGTCACGCACGCGCGCGCGTACCTTTTGAGAGAAGAGCGAGACTTTGAAGTTCTGCGCGTACGGACATAGACTTGCCGCACGTAGACCTTGTTCCTTGCCGTGATTCGACGACGGAGCCTCTCTCGATCACCAACTGTCCGGACGGGCCGCCGCTCCTGTCGCACCGCTGGCAAGCGCGACACACAACAGAGCAGTGAATGGGTCACGCTTTATCTCCTAAGCAACGGTCAGGCTTCTCCTCGCCCCAGCCGCGTCACACTTTTTCCTCCCCAGTCACGCTGTCTCCTCCCAGTCACGCCTTCTCTTCGCCGGCGTCACACTTCTCCCCCCCCCCCGCGGTCACCGATCATGCCCGTTTTCTCTCCTACGGACACACAAGCAGCATGGCGTCAGGCGTTCTCCTCCCGCGGTCACACTTCTCCTCCCCGCGTTCACACTTTTCCACCTCCGGTCACGAATACCCGCTTCTCCTCCGCGGTCCACTTCTCCTGCCAGCGGCCCAGTCAGGCTCTCCTCCGCCGGCTCACAGCTTGCTCCTCCCCGGTCAGGCTTCTCTTCCCGCGTCACACTTCTCTCCGCGTCCCCGCACTTCTCCTCCCCCAGGTCAGCTTCTCTCCCCGCGGTCACACTTCTCCTCCCCCCAGTCAGGCTTCGGCCTCCGCGGTCACACTTACTTCCTCCCCCAGTCAGGCTTGCTCCTCACCCCGCGGTCACACTTCCTGGGCCCCCGGTCAGGCTTCTCCTCCCGCCGGCGGTCACACTTCCTCTCCGGCGGTCCCCTCAACTTCTCTCCCGCCATCGGCTTTCCTCGGCCGCGGTCACACTTCTCCTCCCCCCGCGTCAGGCTTCTCCTCCCCGCGGTCACACTTTCTCCTCCCCCGGTCAGCGCTTCTCCTCCCCGGTTTCACATTCTCGCTCCCGCGGTCACCTTTCTCCTCACCCGTCAAGGCTTCTCTCCCCCGGGTCACACTTATCCCTCACCGGCGCGCGGGGCCCGGGGGGGGGGGCGCGGCGGCGCGCGGGCGGCCGGCGCGCCTCAGGCTTCTCCTCCCCCAGTCACACACATTCTCCTCCCCCCGGTCAGGCTTCTCCTACGCAGTCACACTTCTCCTCCCGCGGTCCACTTTCTCCGCAGTCATGCGGTTCTCCACCCGCGCGGTCACCACTTCTCTCCCCCGGTCAGGCTGTCTCACCCCCGGTCGGCTTCTCCTCGCGGTCACACTTCTCCTTCCCCAGTCAGGCTCTCCTCACCGCAGGTCACGCTTCTCCTCCCGCGGTCACACTTCTCCTCCCGCAGTCACACACTTTCTCTCCCCGGTCAGGCTTGCTTCCGCGGTCACACTTCTCCTCCCCCGGTCAGCGGCTTCTCCTCCTGCCGCGGTCACACTTCCCCCCCCCAGATCAGGCTTCTCCCTTCACCGCGGTCACACCTCTCTCCCGGTAGGCTTCTCCTCCCCGGCAGTCACACACTTGCTCCTTCCCCGGTCAGATTTCCTCCCCAGTCACACTTCTCTCCCCCGGTCACGCTTTCTCCACACCCCGGTCACGGCCTTTCCTCACCGCCAGTTCACACTTCTCCTCAACCCCCGGTCACACTTCTCCTCCCGTTCACGGATACCCGCTTTCTCCACCCCGGTCACACTTCTCTTCCCTGCGGTCACATGTCTCCTCACCGCGTCACATCGCTTCTCCTCACCCGGTCACACTCTTCTCCTCACCGCGGGTCACACTTTCTCCTCACCGCAGTCACACGTCTCCTCACCCGGCTCACATTCCCTCTTCCGCGTCACACTTCTCCTCACCCCGGTCAACTGCTCACCCGGTCACGCTTCTCGCACCGCGGTACACACTTCTCACCCGGTTCACGCTGTCTCACCCCCGAGTCCGCTTCTCCTCACTGCGTCACACTCTCCTCCCCCGCGCTCACGCTTTCCACCCCGGTCACGCGTGGTTCTCCACCCCCGGTTCTTGCCCCCCGGTCAACGCTTCTCCACCCCCTGGTCACGATATCCGCTTACCTCTGCAAGACATGACACGTGAGCATGGGTACCTTCACTTCCCACTGGCTTGACACGAAAGCATAGGGTTCATCGTTTCTCTCCTCCCCGGACATATGAGCTACGCTAGCGATGGGGTTAATGTGTGGGTTCCTCCGTGGACAACACTTGCTCTTTCTCTCCCCCTTTGGGGGGCTGAGGGGTGAGTAGTTAGTACCTTTTTACTTTGTTGCTATATGTTTCGCTGGCATATCCTGGCATTTAATTTTTCCACCGTGCTCCACCTCATGCTGAGTTAATATATCAGAAATATCTTCAGGCTTTTATATGTGTCGTTTTATTAATGGTGCCTCATTTCGAGAGGTAGATAACGTCGTAACAGAGAGTGCTGAGAACACTACTACATATTTCCGGACCGGCAAAACAGCCTCGAGTAGATTCTATGTTACTCACTCAGATTATTATTGATACACCAGCACTTGTGAAGATTACACTTATCCTAATACCGATGAGCTAGCTGCCCTAGGACCCACGCCGTCACTCTTAACGGGTTCGAATTGATCCAATATTCCACGTGCTCTGTGGAACACAACAAGGCATTCTTCCCATCCATCTTTCCCCTGGTTTCTGTTGATGCGCACAAGGAATGGCCCAAGAACCGCAGGGCTGTTTGCAAAACAGTATCTCACGCATCTTCTGCAGTTGCCCACTCCACCAAGCATTTCACTACAATAAAACTAAGTCTGGGTGCCAGAGTCGACCTTGCTTACAAACGAGGCCCGTTATGCAGAAACTATCCATATATAGATTAGTTAAAATCAAAGCGGTATAATGTCAGAACTTTTCCCAAAGGCGAGAGCATGGTACAGAAGTTAGAGCATTTTGCCACCCATGACAATC